CCTGGGGTGGAAGTTTCCAAACGCTTCACGCCTCTGCTTTGGCACTTGTGTATGCTCCTGCTGAGTACTGTGCAGCAGTATGGGGCAGGAGCATGCACACCAAGCTAGTGGACGCTATCCTTAACAGCATCTTGAGAACCATCACTAGATGCCTAATGCCAACTCTGGTTGACTGCTTACCAGTCCTCTCAGGCCTTCTACCCTTTGACATCCCTGTTGGGGCTGGACCCGATGATCTGCAAGGTCCCTTCCAGCCCCTAACAATCTATGAATCTCTATGAACTAGTCCATAGACAAGGTACCACCCTGGCCCTAGGCCTCAAAGCCCAAGTCCAGACCAATCTTTGCACCTCCAGCGTAGTAGTTGCAAGCCAGAAAACCCACCGTCACCTGAAGTCTTGGAACCCATTCTCCACTTAGACCGATATGCTCATCAAATCTACAGATGGCATGTCACCCGCAGCATGGGCCTCCCATCACTGGAGCAGGCCATATGCTGCCCAAGAACTGCAGCTGGAGAACTTCATCTCCAACACCAGCTTCCGCCCCTCAGGCTGGCAGTTGCCCCGCAGGGCCTAGACTGCTCTTAACAGTCTCAGAGTGGGGTTTGGACCATTTAAGGCAAGCAGACAAGGTTCCTTGGGTGAATTTGATATCTTTTATTAGACCAACCCAAATGGTTGGAGAATAGTTATTAAGCAAGCTTTCGGGTTCAAAAACCCTTCGTCAGGCTCAGGAAGCTGCAGCAGTTGGTGTGTGCTCTTCCTGGATGGAAGCACGCACTCTTTACAGGTCTCCAGCAGCACTGGTTGCAGCTGTGGTGCTCAAGCTCATATGGCCACCACATCCTCTGTGAGTACCCTTATGGCTTTCCTTCTGGTGCCCAAGGTCTTACTGACCTTGACCATTCAACTTGTCGCTGGCTTTCTCGCCCTCGTGCCTCTGACATGAGTGTGGCGACACTCGCTTCATCACTATCACCTGTGGCATGTTGGGGTGCTACGTCTTTGGGTTGTGTGCCAGGGTTGACTGTAGTTTTGCTAATAAGTTAGACAAAGATTTGTACGTGATAGTTTAGATAGGGATGATCCTGCTTCTTGCCCCTTCCAGCCCTACTTTTTCTGTGATTTTAATCCAGTAGGAGCCCTGATCTGGATTGATGCCTTCCAGCAGTCTTGCATGTAAAGGGTTAAGAAATATGGAACTTGCATCCGAGATGCACAGATGTTATGACAATAAACGTGATGGAAAAACTGAGGAGTAAATGTCACTTGCTGGCTGCCAGTATTGTGATTTATAATGTTCAGATAGATTTTGCAGAGGCTGAGGCTAGAAGGGACCCTGAGATCATTTAGTCTGTCCTGAAGTATGACCCAGACCTTTAAATTCTCCCAGCTAGCCAATCTTGACTTCTGCTTAAACCAAACCATTTCAGTCCTTAAGAAGCAAACAAACTATAGTGGGTTGCAGTCAGGGGATAGGAGAGACGTTATTGTCACCACTGCTCACATCCAGTCAATTGAAGAGCACTGATTAAAGTGAAATCTGCCCAGAAAATCCTACTAGCTAATCTGTACCTCATTATCATTAAATATATACTTCCTGCCTCTGTTCATTTGAGAGTAGCCCCGAAAGACTTGCAGCGTCTTTTGTTGGGTGTAATACAAATATATACATGAACCCTGAGACCGAAATAAATTTGTAGAGCGTATGGCAAATTGCAAACATCGTGCTCTTCTGCTAAGTGCTTGGAGAGGATCTACTTGAGGATATGTTTAGGAGAAGCTACTCTAAGATTGTTGGAGTCAAATCCCCAAACCTTACTTTCAGTATCCCAAATAAGTGCTTTTCTGCAAATAAGGAAGATTTCTTATAATTGACTCCTGGATACTTTAAACTAGCCTACAGACCCTTTTACATAATAAGAAAACAATGGTTCATCTGAAATGGGAATGTTTTGAAGTGAATCATTTAATTTGCTTAGCTAAAGAGTTTTCCACTAAATTTAATTTTAAGCTGCTTCCCTTTCATTAAAGTTCAAGTCGGACTTAAGTATTTAATTGCATTAGATGAAGAGCTATAAAAGAAAATGAGGATAATATGTGTATCAGAGAGCAAAAGTATATTTTTGATGTTTTCATTTTGGGTGACCAGGATAAACTGAACCACAAGCATGGAGGTCTCTCAGTAAACATTTCCCGTGTTTCTAGAAAGGGGTTGGGGTTTTTTAGCATTTTAAAGAGGTAACTTGTATGAACTATGTTTATACATAATTTTAGGGCTAAATTTTCAAATATGGGCTTGCGTGGGCGGGGGGGGGGGAATCTGAGCACAATCAAAACTGCCAAATATGCTTACCTGTGAAAAGTTTATCTGACTTTTCACACTCGTGAAAAGTCAGGTGCACTCGTTTTTGAGAGCGCTGGCACTGCGCCGCTCTGAAATGGGTGTCTAATTCTAATTCACAATGAATTGTTAGGGTCAGGATTTCAGTGCGAGCCGTGGATGTTCTGCAGCCCTTGAAAATCAGGTTGTCTGAACCTAGAGTGGTCTAGTACTTGTATACCTCGTTTTGAAAACCCAAGCTGGATGTCCAGCAAGCAAGGTTCTTGCCTGTACTTTCACATTTTCTTCACCCCCCCTGTCGGCTGGATGATATTTCCCAGGTGGCTGGATGAAAGGTATTCACACTCAGATTTTTTTTTTTTTCCTTCTAACACAACTGGTTGTGACACGAGACAAATTAGTGAGCATTTTGTCTACATGATTAATCAGCACACTTTTACTTCTGGCGTGTTGTGGAATTGCTCAGAGGGTTAAAAACAAAACCAAGAAACAAAAACCTTCCAGTGACTTTGACAGCTGTCAAATGATTTAAGCAAAACAAATTTCTGAGTGATGTTTGAGTCTCTAGTTAACATTAAATCAAAAGCACATGCAGTATCCTTTGGCTTGGTTAACTGGACGTACTCGTTTTAAATCATTATTGTACCTTTCTTTCCACTCGAAATTAATCTGCTGGTGGTTAGCAGTGAAGTGCATGGGAACAAGAGGTTCTTTATCTGCATTCCTGAATGGTTGTGTCGAAGCTGCAGGTTTCTATTTTAAAGCGAGGCGTTACGTAGAAACTATCCTTTCTTATGCAGTAGACCCAGTAGTTTTCAACCTTTTTTCATTTGTGGACCTCTCACAAATTTTGAATGGAGGTGCAGACCCCTTTGAATTGTAAGCGTGGGTATTCAGACACTTGGTTGATCAGTCGTCTTTCACAGACCCCTTAGATACCGGACCCCCAGGGGTCCATGGACTGCAGATTGATAACCACTGCAGTACACCAAATGGTTGTGCCTGGTGATTGCGAGACAAAACTCACTTTTCTCCTTTTTGTGTGGCTCCGTAAGTGCTCTAGGTTCTGTTCTGCTGTTCGCAGGATCACCAGATTGTTAAATTATCGATGCAAGGCCAAATTCTTCCCTTGCTAAGAACTGGACAATGTCATTGTCTCCAATGACATTAAGTAAGTGCAGCTGGGGTAAAATTTAGCCAACAGATTGCATTACTTATGATAATGCACAATCAGGAACGGACCCATGTTAATTCTTTGCATTCAGGCAGAGATTGTCATTCTAGCAGCTGGAATAGCATCATTTTACTTGCAAAGTAAAGTGAGATCTGGAGACATTGAGGAGGGAAAACATAGAAACCCTGCATCTGTCTCAACTATGCTTCCTAGAAAAATTTAACACAATGTACAAACCTTCGTCCCTCGTATATAGGCCCAGTTTCTGTTGACTTCAGTTAGGGCTGGAGGCAGATTTTGATCCTCTTTATATCAAGCCTATATTTATGGAGCCATTTGATCCTATCGCCTGTGTTAATAAACACTTCAAACTGTGTGTAAATGAGTGGGGGGGTTTCCCTTCAGGGACCTTTTGGATCACCCTCAAATCATGTTGATCTTGTAAATGCATGAACAGTTTATTCAATAAACTCAAATGACCCTGAAGGAAATGTTGAATTTTAAATTAAAGCCAAAATCCAAGGAACTGCCACATCTGCACTGGTAAAAATGTGTTTTTCTTGTGGGGATGGAAGAGAGGGATTCAAAACAGGGCAGAGCTGGGTTACCTGAATCCTCATCCAAGAGCACATTTGTAATAGCAGCTATATGCTAGGCTCCCATTGAAGTCAGTGGAAATTAGGCACCTAAATACCTTGTTAAAATTTGACCTGACCTTTTCCCATGGCTTGTGATTGTTGTAGAAACTTTGGTTGCATAAAATACTTGGCAAGGTGAGAAGAATGGAAAAGTCACAAGACCTGGCTTAACTGAGCTCCGTTAGTCTTTCCTGCCCAGAGCAAGGGGGCTGGACCCAGTGATCTCATGCGGTCCCTTTCAGTCCTAAACTTGTGTGAATCTGTGTGAATTGGGCTAAACCTTGAGCACATCTGAAACCTTGGGGCTACAAGAAGAAATGGCTCTAAGAAACCAAATGCATTCGGAACAAAGACTTGCTAAATATTGAGGAAGAAATGGACATCTAAATATGCTCCCTTGTGGTTGAAGGCAGGCATGAGTTGAACTCAGACTTGTCTGGGGGTAGATATATGTCCATTGACTACTGTCGAGTTGAATTTTGCCTCCAGTACACGTAGTCAGTAGTTTTCCATTGCATCACTTGTATCCGTCACCTCTTTGTAGAGTCACGGCAAATAATGCATGACAGAAGTCAACTGAAGGGGCAGAAGCTATTCCTTTAACTTTAACTTCTACATATTTATCTCAAGACCACTTATTTATATAAAACTGTTCTGCTCAGTCTCTCTGATTTAATGTCATATGGATATGGAGTACTGCATTGGCTCAGCAAGGCTCTCCATCAGCATGTACCAAATGAATACTGTGAAAGCTCCTCTATGAATTGCTATCTTTTACAATTCTCCTCTGTGCCCAAGGCCATTTTTTCCTAACTGTTACATCTCATTTTGCTTTCTTTCAGGGTTTTGAAGATCCCAAGGACAAGTAAGCATATTTTATTTTTGTCATAAAATCTTGCTGGTTCTAGATTCCTCCCCTTCCTCCTCCAAATGAAACTAATGGTTTAGGTAAATGACCCAGTACCGGGGCCTGGAGTCCCCGGTTGTCTTCACTGATCAGATGCAACGGCTGCTCTGCAGGGATGTCCTTCGGGGACGTGAGGGTTGGTGTCTCTCCACGAACATCCTGTTTCTGAACAGCTCTATTGGGAGGGCTGGCCGGGGAGTTAATGAGTGCCAGTTGCAGAGCCAGCTCTAGATGGTACTGGTACACATGGGACTGTCTTAATCAGGGCCCTTGCACGAAAAATCTTGAGCAGTAGCCACTATCATAATATTTCTGCTTTATCATTTAAGGAATTCTAGAGAAGGGCTTGAAAGAGAGTGGGGTCAGTATAGTTCAGCTTAGGTAAAGTGAGAGGGTAGGAACTGTGGGAGAACAAGAAGAGATCTTCAAGGCCGCAGAAATAAAATAGAAGACGCCTGAGGCAGACCACTTGTTGCCTCCGTGCGGTGCAGTCCTTGGTCTCATAGGGCATCCCTGGCCCAGGTTGCCCAGCCAGCAAAAGCCGCAGCAGTGTCTTGTCGTTCCATTGTGGGTTGTGGGAGCTCAATCAGAAGAAACTCAGCCGTGGAGCAGAGCTATAAAAAATATTTCGATTTTTTTTTTTTCTTTCCTAGAGCTTGTTTCAATCAAACGATTTGTCGTGAGTAATGAAGGGGAGCAGGTTGGCTAGGAAACAAATCAATGCTTCTTTGCTGATACTAAGTTTAGTTCCCAAGTGAGGCAATAGTAGAATAGGACACTTGTGAATACATGTTTGTTCACTGAGATATAAATGAATGCTACCTGTCTGTGGTGATTCAGGATTGGTGAAATCTGCCCTTCCAGGATACCCGAGGAATATTCAGCCCTACTGAGTAACGAGGAAAGGCCCTTTTTACAAGCGGAGGATGAGGCAGAGACATTGCCCAAAGGGACGTTGCCAGTTAATTTTAGAGCTGTGGGGTTCGGGTTCTGAGTTTTGCGCTGACCCTCCTAGGCCATGGTTCAGATTTCTTCAGCCCTGAGAATATCACAGGTCACCTTTGGCACAGTCCACAGGATCGAGGTTAAAATCTTCGCCAGTGGAGCCTAATTTTCAATTCTTCCCCTCTTGAGCAAAACTAAGGGGAGCAGTGGAGAATCCCATTTCTGAAAACCAGACATTTTTATGGTGCCTCCAAGTTGAACAGCCACAAACATCGCAATCAAAATCACAGGCCGTTTCTGACAGTGTTGGCTCGTATGAACTAAGGACCAACCCTGCCAACAAAACATTTATTTAGTGTCTGCAATTCTACCAAGTCTGTAATAGAAATGTTTTCTCTGCCCTGTCCCCAAAGATTCCTGTGCTGCTGCTGTTATTTCTGAACATGTACCAAGAACAAAATTTACATATAAAAGATGTTTAATGATGTTGAACCATTACTGGAAGAATGTAGTAACGAGATTGTAGTGTCAATAAATTTGCAAGAAAAGAGCACTGTTGTCACGTTCATCTGGCATGTCATTCAGCTGAGAGATTTATTCAAAATTTTCCAGTTCACACAGGTTCATGTGCCAGTTTACAATGCCTTTAAAGATTTTTGAAGGACGGGTTTTTTGCCTATGAACTTTGCCCTCAAACAAGTATGGTCTTTCGTTTTATTCCAATTTAGTGTTCTTACTTAAAATCCCTTTGCTTGTTTTGGTTTTTATAGTCTCTGAGGACTACTGCCTGAGATCATATTAGCTGTAACGAGCTTTTTGCTAGATATGGGTGGAAAATGCATTTTCTGTCTAGTGGGAAAACTTTTGAGTTTCAGAATTTTTCTGCCTTGATTCAGGGTAAAGAGTCATGATTTTGAAACCATTTTCTGGAATAATTTTTTTTCACAAAGTTTCTTTTAGAAGGATCCAAGCTTTCTTTTCCACTAAATTTAAAAAAATACCACTGTGCTTGTGAGCATTGTGATTCTGATAGTTTTGAATATGAAAGTAAATTTTAAAACCAAACTGGGAGGTGACAGGTGGTTCAGGACGGTCCAGGCAGGCCATGCTTGCGCATTTCTGGTGACTCTTCCTGTACCAGAATATAAACAGGTTTATACCCTGTCCCACCAGATCATGAAACTGCCCCAACAGTGCTTCTAGCAGGGCCGTCGGTCCAGAGAACAGGAACAGGAGAGGTAAACCCCACAAGGAACTCTGAGTTTAAGCATTTGATGCAACGAAATGCTTATGAAAGAAAAATAAATATGAATTCCATGAGAATCTATCTTTAGAATAAGGGATTAATATGGACAGACTGGATCTTGCTTTAAATTAGCTTGCTTACATACTGCCAGCAATGTAATTGCAGCAGCGTGGAACTCGGCTCAGAAACAATCCATGAACTGGACAAATGCCTAGGTGAGTATCCGGTGCTGAGCTCCACGCTACTGAGAATGGACTTCATTCAGTACCTAAGCCAGCTGTACGTATGTCTGCACGAGCTGCAGACACAGCAGTGACTACAGTGTAAACACACTCTCGTTAGAGGTGGAACGACCCCCTTGCTGATCCTAAAACAGCCAGCCGTGGTCGAGAGCTACAGAGAGTTCCTCCATTTCCTCCCATGCTGTGCTGTTGTACCGAAACTGTGATGCCAGCTGAAGCTCACGGAGACAACGATGATGTCTTTACCTGGGGTTCTTGGAGAAGGATTTTACTTCTCCCCTGTGTGATATAAAACGGCTAAATTTAAATGGTCCAAATGTATAAATAACTAGCAGGAACTTGGATCGCATTCTATAAATACGAAAACTAGCAATTTCCTTGCTCATTTAATGAGTCTGGAGGACAGGATTATGAGGACTGGATGAAAATAAGCAATGGCTTTTTGTATGTTTGAGCAGATGTGGTTTCTTTAAAACAAACATCTAGAAGTAAATTAAATTTCCTTTCCTCCGAGGGGAAAACTAAATTTTGTTTCAGAAGTGGAATATATGTTGATGGAGTAACCGCAGCAGCCAAAAAATAAAGCAGCCCTACTCTGCTCTCATACCCTTATTGAAACGTAATGTTTTGCTTTTCTAATATGTAGCTAGCATATATTGGTATCGCTTCCTTTGGCTGGAGTTGGAATGACCAGCAGTGTGTCATACGGCTGTAAAACCTGATTTTTTTTCTTTTCTTGGTCAGATGTGTACAGGTCCCACTGAGTGAAATAGAAGTTGTGGGTGCTGAACACTTCTGAAAACCAGGTCCAAAAAGCTTAAAAGCTAGTGAATCCTTTTTGGACTATCCTTTTTGGCCCCCAACTTGGGGAGGTGCCCCAAGTGCTTGTATTGGTTTGAGTACCCGTAGGACTATTAGGCCTGTGTTTCCCTGAGGACACAGACCCTAGAAGGTCCCCTCTCGGGGTGGTGGCAGCACGTTCCCCTGGACTGTTGTTGTGAGGCTCGAAAGGGGGTCTGCCAGGGCTTAGGCGCCCCTGGGGAGTCGCATGGAGTCCGAAGGTGGACTGGCGTAGTGAGGTGGGAGGCTCAATGCAGGACAGTTTTCTTGCCATTTTCCAGTTGGTCTAATAAAAGGTATCATTTTGGAACCACGAATTCTAGTTTTTTATGTCTTAAAAGCTAGTGAAGCCTCTTTCAATTCAAGTCATTAGGAGCATTATTTTTTTTTTTTTTTTTTTTATTTTTTTAAGAACAGTGATATTGATCCCATTTTGGCCAGCCTTAAAAATCTGAGTAGCTTGTGTGTGCAACACTCGTGCCTATAAAGGCCTTTTGGTGATGGGCATATTACAACTGATGTTAGTTGTCGGCATGATCCTCTTATACAGCTCTTCGAACAGCTAGTGGATTTTTGGTACGATAATTTTTCAAGGCCCAACTAGAGCCTCCTTAAACAGATATCATTTTCCATATAACTGTCTGCAACAGCACTTTTCATGTTTCCCATTGTGCTTTATTTTGTTTTTGGAGGTCCTTGAACAATGGCTGATTTCCCATAATGCGGGTTGTGGCATCACTGTGTTGTTGCCTTATATTGATTGGGATCACCCTTGAAGATGGAGATCATATTGTCTTATGATTTACTATGAAGTACATGTAGTTGAGCATGATGGAAAGGAAACAGAATAACAACATTTCAGCGTTGGCTCTCAATTTCTGCCATTTATTAGTTAAATACAGACCAGAAAGAAGTCACGTGACACTGATTTTAAAATAGTGTGATTTTTGGATGCTTAATTTGAGACACCATTAAGAGGGTTGGGTTTATAGCACTTTTGTTGGTTTTTAGCACTAATTGAAAGTGACGTCCATTTAAGAAGGCTCTAGTTGGGCCTCAAAAAAATATGGTATCAAAAATTCACTAGTTGTTTGAAGATCTTCCTTTATGTATTTGGAAATTAGGTCTTAATCCCATATTGCCTTGTACTTTTATCATTTTTCCTACCTTAAAGCTAGAAAGAGATTAGTAAAAGTTGATAGCTATTTATTTTGAGCACAGCTCTGAAATAACAGAGGGGAATTGGGCCAATTATCTTTAATTGTTACTGAAACCAGTTCGGAAGATCAAAACTGGAGAATTTTTTCAAATTTTGAAAGTTCAACAAAAAAAATTCAATAAAGAAAAAGGTGTAGAGAGTAATTTTTGGCCAGCTCAGCAAATTACAAACAACAGTACTGAATTATAGGAAAAAATTAAGTGGAAAAATAATGGAAGGAAAATCTAGTTTGGTTTTAGAGGCTGATGCGTGGGGGAGCCAACAGCTTGATGTTGGAGGTGGTCTGAAGGAAGGACACTAGATTAAATATCCTGATTGATGGGGATGGATGGCTCAGGGTTGTAAACAGTTCCAGATTATTAGATGAATAGCTCCAAATTATCAGTTTATGTCTAGCTGAGATATTAAGAATTAAAGAGCATAGAGTGAAATAATCTTTTGGATCACATTGGTGGGGAAAACATCAAGTTCTCACTCTTTTCCATTTTTGTGACTTGCTCAGGAATACCCAAGAAAGCATGAACCCCGAAGATGAGGTGGATGAGTTTCTGGGCCGTGCAATTGATGCCAGAAGTATTGATCGGTTACGCTCTGAGCACGTGCGCAAATTCCTCCTAACATTCAGGGAGCCTGACTTAGAGAAGAAGGTAACGTCCTGCAAGTACTACTGCAAGAGACCATGACGTGACTGCCACTCCTCTTATTGTTCTTTTTAAGATCAAATTTTACTTCCTGGCTTTAAATTAAGTTTCTGATGGTAGGACTCTTATGTGCCCATCGCATCAACTCTAAAGAAATCTTAACTTCTGCTGAGTCTCCTGTAAAGCAGCAGGGATCAGCTGAAGGAGATGCATGGTAGAAATGCATGCCAGGCCATTTCTCTTTTTCTTTCACAAAAAGAGTCTGTTTTTACAGAAAGGTTGAAGTGCAGAATGAAACCAGAATGCTCTTCTGAGTTTTGCAGGGCCTGTCCAGGATGACACTCAAGGGGTCTGTGTGTGAGGCTTCCCAGCAGAGCTATGTGCTCTGGACACACGTAATTATATTGTTCCTAGTTCAGGACCTAGCACATACAGAGCCAGGTCAGTTATCTCTGCCTGGTGCCACCTGGCACTGTGTAGCCCTGCTCACAGGCGGAACCAGCATTTTAAAAAGGTGGATGCATCTCTACTATGGGGGTTGGGGGAGATGAGGCCAAGTGCACCTGGAGCCTTCAGACCTGCAGGGTCACAGGGGAAGAGGAGGGGGCAGGGAACAGGCATAGGGAGGGGGGCACCTCCCTGCCACCATTGTTGCTGTCCCCAGCTGAGCCTAGCATCCCATGCCACCTCTCCTCACAGTCCCCAGCTGGAGTGAGGCAGGAGCAATCCTGGGGCTCCCCCTGCATCCAAGTCAGCCAGAGAAGGTGGTGGTGGTAGTGAGCAGGTCCTCCCCTTCCTGCACTGCTTTTCCAGGGAACCAGCCATGGGGAGCAACTCAACAGGAGCTGGGCTCGGCCAGGGACAGTGGCAGCAGCAGAGGCTGGTCCCTCCCTCCTTGCCCCTTTGGTGTCTCATGCTGGCCTGGGAGATGGAAACATCACTGGACTATACACAGGAGAGGGGTACAACTCCACCCCACCTTCATCTGCCCCTGGCTGTATCCAGCTCTTCATCATTCTTGCCTACCATTTTGGGAGAGGAAGAATGATCTTGTGGCTAAGGCATGGGGCTGTGACTCAAAAGATCTGGGTTTGTTTCCTGAGTGTCCCAGACAGCCAGTACCATCAGAGGCAAACCTCTTTGCCCTTTCAGTTGCCTCGTCTGTAGGATGAGTGGCAGTACCTCATTGGGGGTTGTGCATGAGCTAATTCCAAATTTGAAGCCAACTCTATTCCACCTGTTAACCATATAAGTGGACTTGGGCAACCAGAGGTAATTCTTTTCCACCCTGCTGAAATGCCTTAAAAAGGGTTAAAACAGAACAAAGGCAGGTTATTGTCCTCCTCCTTGCTTTTTTGTGACTTGAGCTTAAGTGTAACATCAGGGTGTACCAGAAGACTGGATTTTGGGGCCCGCCTGTATGCCCAATAGGTGCAATAGACTCTGACCCTTAGATATCCCAATGATGGGAACTGTATGAGGAAGTACGGTTTTATCCTTCCTAGGGAAAAATTCAGCTCTGCCTTTTTTATCTTAAATAATGTGGTTCCTGGGGCAGCTGGGGCTATCTTGAGCGTAAACCCTGACGCTGGTGATAAAAGAGCGAGGCACATTTTTAATTGGAGAAGCCAGATCTATAAATCTAATTACAGTATGCTTTAAATTCTAAGTGTGTCAGATTAGGCTTGAATTAAAAAATGAGTAGGCAGTTTCCCCTCCCCTTTCATTTTATACTTAAGGGAAATTAGCAGTTCACCTGTTTAAAGGGCCTGAACGTATCCTCAGTTTAAGAGCTGCAGTTGGAAATCAGGTGCCTTCAGGAGCTGCGCAGTCATCAAAACAGTGCAGCCATGTCCTTGCTCGTGCTTTAGGACCAGCAGCATGCACACAATTTGGATAACACAAGTCCAGTTTTTCTCACAGGACTCGCTAGCAGTGTATTTATCCTACTGGAGGAAAGCAATGATGAAAAAGAGATGAGTTGAACCTGGACCAGTGTTTTCAGTCTTATTTTCATATGTACCCTGGAAGGGGCAGAATATAAATCATGCTCCCATCTGCTTGGGTTCATCCAAGGACCCTCAGGGCTTGTGTGGCTCCACAGATTTGCTAGGAAAGAAGGGAAATTTTTGCCCATGTCCAATACCAGTTGGTAGCTCTGTGGGGGGCACTGAGTGAGGTATTTGTTTGGGGGAGGAGCAGGCTTGTGCTAAGTCTTCGCTATGCTTATTAAAACCTGTTCATCTCCTAACAGTATTCCAAGCAGGTGGATGACAGATTCGGAGCCTATGTGGCTTGTGCCTCCTTAGTCTTCCTCTTCATCTGCTTTGTTCAGATCACAATCGTGCCACAGTGAGTAGATCTTTCCTTGCTATTTCTGTACTCTGGCATTTGTTTTTTTCTTTCCTCAAGGCTACAGTGCACCAGAGGGAGGCAAACTCTCTAAATAATTCCTGCTTAAGTGATGTGAAATGCTTGTTGAGTGCATTCATTTCTGGCTATAGCATGTTAACCTTGGCTTTGGCGCACAAGGGGTTTTGTTTTGCCAGCATGACTTCTCCGAATGTTTACCTCTGGGTTGAGAAACTTGGTTTAGTGCCTTTATATAATTCGGCAGGAAAAAGAAAATCGCTAAAATGGGACCAGCTGCATATTGAAGCAACTGGCTTTTCAGAATGCAGGCGAGCTTGGGCCATCGTTCACCATAACCGAGGAGGGGAGGAAGCAATCCATCGCAGCTTCTTGTTCATTCTGCTTGGATCTTGGTGTCAGGTGCAAAGCAGGATACTTAGACTACAAATTGACATTGCCAAATGAAGCAGATCAGCTGTGTCCAGGATGTGCCCCATCACAGCTGATCTGCTTCGTTAGGCAAGCCTGTTGTCCTACCTGTTGATCTTGCAGGAGAAGAAGCGTTACCTTCCCTGCTTCAGGACACTCCTAGCAATCTCTGGGGTACATCTCTGGAAGCAGGTAAACAGGGCAAGCACTCCCCAGGCTTGATGCGCCTGATCCTGTGCATGAATTCCCCGGGCACACAGGACCAAGCTCCTCAAGTCCAGAGAGCACCGGCTGGGGGCATTTGGAGAATGAGGGCAGCTCTTGGCTGCCTGTGCTCTCCCCACGTAAAGCAAACAGACATTTGTTCTAATAAAACCTCACAAATTACTACCTTTGCTGCAACCACATTGTGGCACAACAAAGGGCATGGACACCTATTTGCTTTCACTCTGGACTGCCATAAAAAATGTGATGGCGATGCAAAGGTGATGAAAGGTGATAACTGTTTCTACCCCGAGTCCCTGGGTACTGGCAAGCTATGAGACCGGAAAGGCAGAAAGTAACATTGTGTGGGCCCCAAGAGGGAATTAACCTCCATATTTTTAAGGGCTGTGGTAACTTAGTACCGCTGGAAAGCACAGTTCCCCTCCTGTCCGTCTTTTGGTTGACTGGAAAAGGGCCATCTGTGGCACAGCATCTTCTGGACCAGTGCAGCTTACTCATCCTCCTTTGCTGAGACCTGTAAGAGCCCCATCTATCCCATGGGGCTTGTACAAAAAAAAAGCTTTATAAAACGCTCATTTTAATTAAAGTACACATGTATTTTTCCAAAGATCTGGTTCAATAACAATGATATTAACTGTGTACCCACAAATAGGCAGTCCTTCTAGGTAAGTTTGGAACCTGTCACTTTTAATCTTGAGGATATTATAATGGACGTTTGACAAACGCTCCAAGTTTATCTTCCTCCATTTTAAGAAGGCAACAATTTTCCTTTCAGGAAGACACAAGAACAGCATGTGTCCACGCAACTGCTTTCTGTTTTGCTCACACCACCCTCCTTCCTAGAAAAGAGACTGAATTGTGCCCATCAGGTTGCATAGTCAGTAGGCCACAGAAACAATATGTGATATGATGTTTGAGGTCATTTTTTCTCCCAGGCGAAAGGATGATCGCCGTTGCTCAAGGAATGGTAGAATCAGCAAAACAGCAGCCGCAGAAATAGTTTAGGAAGAGACAGATCC